TGTTTGTGTATCTGATTAAACATGAAGCTGCCCCTCCTTGCCTGGAGGATAGGGAGTGAATACAATAAAAGGGCCTTAGTGGATGACAGAAAGCACAGGCAATTCTGAACTCTACATACACTGTATCTTTTTTTATCATGCATACAAATCTATGATAAAGTTTAATTTATAAGTAAGGCACAGTAAATCTAAGAATAGTAACTATAATACTGTAACAAAAGTTTCACAAATGTAGTTTCTCACTTTCTCAAGGTATCTTACAAGGAATCCATCTCGCTATGATGACATGAGGTGGGATGAGGACAGGAATATGGCTCAGCACTTGCCAAGCAGCAGCCATAACTTCTACAGTTTGAGAAGTGACAGCAAAACTAGGGTGGGCCTCTGTTTTTCCTTCTTCACAATTCTATGGATAAAAATAAATTAAATTAAATTAAATTAAATTAAATTAAATTAAATCCTCCTTAGCATAGATCCTAACAGCCTCGAGTACAAATGTTCCCTTTCTTTAAAAACTTTTACTCCTTCACTTAAAGGAGCACTGTACTGCTTGTCTTTGGTGCAGATGGATTGCTAGCAATTCCGGTGGATGGTTGAAGTACAATTGCAGTGGCTTGAAATATTGAGATACTGTACAGCTGGTCTGGGAGACAGCTACAAAGTGGTTAATGGGAGGCCAGTGTGTTCGGTGTGGATATGCTGAACAAAGGGACAGTTGATTTCTTTGAAGCATGGGTAAGAACTGGCAGACCAACAGATCCTCAGAAGAGCATGTAGTTGAAAACCAACTTGAATCATGAGATTGAAGAGATGGCTTGGCCAGGACAGTACTTTCTACATGAGCACATGGATCCAAGTTCAATTCCCAGCACCCGCATACAAAGCCACTGGATGTGGTGGCACTTATTTACAATCCTAGCACTGGACAGGAGACAGAGGAAGCCTGGTGTGGATGGTCTAGCCAGCATAGCCTGCTTAGTGACTTCCAGGTCACCTAAAATTTAAGTTGAGCAGCTCATGAGAATAACACTTAAGGTTGTCCCAGCTACCACATACATGTTCACATGGAGTATATACTCACTCACCACAAGAACACATGTACAAACCACATGAGTAGTGCCTGTACAGGCACACAACGATTTACAAATTGTATGTTTCTGGAATTTTAACATTTTCAGACTTTAGCTGACCAGAACTACAACTGTGGAAAGAAGAATAGTGCACAGGGATTCCTGACTGTATTCTAATTCAATCCATATAATACATATATTGTATATATTATATATAGTATATATATAGTATATATTGTACATATAGTGTGTATATATATATAGTATATGTACTATATATGTATATATATATTTCTGTGACTAAAGCAAACTGTGTGTGCATGTATGCACGTGTGTGTGTGTGTGTGTGTGTGTGTGTATGTGTGTGTGTGTGTGTGTGTGTGAAATTTTGAAATGCATGCAGACACTGGAATTAAGTTCCACTAAGGCAGGCTTGAAGCCTATTTTACCTAGTTGTCTGCCCTCCAGTACTTAAACCAGTGTCCAAGGCCACGTAGGTGCGCACAGATTGTAAGAATGAGGGAAAGCCATGGAGGCTGGGAATGGACAACTAGAGGGACAAAAAACCTGAAAAGTGGTTGCTCATGCGTTCATTTTCTTTGGCTGTGGTGAGAATCTGCTGGGATGAGATTGTAGTAATGAATGCACAATTTTCTGAATGCTTTATTAAGCACCATTTCATATTTTATAAGGATCTTTTTGTCGGTTAGTATATTTTTATTTCAATTATTCAGTCACAGTAAGTATGCAAATTGATAGATTTAACTGAAATTTCCATTCAAGGCACGTGTCCATCATATACACCCCCCTTCTTCTCTCTCTTGCCATCTTTCCCTTTTCTCCTTTTCCTGGGTCTCCTCCCCTTCCCCAATACTCCATCCCCCATGTTCAGGTCATTAAATGGATTAATTTTGTGGAATATTAACTATATCTTATTTTTGCTCACAAAGAAAAAGGACGAATACATTCTATACTTTCTGGGACGCCGTAGTTGGTGTCTAATAACTGCCTCTTGGGTGAATTGATGATCGCTTTTCTATACCGAAATAGTCTAAATAATTACCTCCCTCAAAGCATGGCTTCCGGGTCCCTCATGTGTCTGGGTTGTGATCTGGTGGAGCCTGCACTATTTGAGGATAGAGGGCATTGGAACATTGGGAAATGGACTGGAGTTCCTCTGGGATGGTGCTTTTGTTTGTGCATCAGAGATAAGAGTAACAGCCTGTGTGCTGAGGCTGTTTGATTTTAGATTACCAAAGGAGAGGGCAGTGTGGTGCTTTTTTGAAATACTGGAGGAAAGAGAGACCTTTGTCAGAGGGAGTCTTGGTTCACATTCTCCCAATTCTTTTTCTGTGGTCCTGTTAAATCCATTTAAAGTCCCTACAGCCCACTACCCTTCAGAAAGTGAGATCTGTCAAAACAGATTAATGCCATCACTGGAAACATTTAGCTAGCCTGTGACAGCTAATCTGGAAGGCTTTATCAGAATACATGTAATTTAGCCACTTGATGACTGCCAACAGGTGGTTGGGAGGAGTCTTTCCGCTCAGTAGAGGGCGTAAAGGCAGAGTTGTTTCTCCATCCTCTTCCATACAAGGTCAGGCAGAATTTCCTTTATTTACAGTGGTTTTCTCATATGATCTTTTCTCTCAAGCTACTGCTTGACATGAAATCAATCTGAGAGTGTATCCTGGTGTGTGACCACACAGCATCGCCCTTCCTGTAGCTGAAGGATTCTGCTGAGAGGACTAGAACAGACACTGGATTTCTCATCAGAGAAGCAGTTTGGGATTTGGAGCATATCAACTTTTCATGTTTGCAACCATTTCTGGAAGGTTCATCTTAAGTCCTGTTCAAGTTAAATGAATGCTCTCAATACCTTGTACCATTTTTTTGTGGTTGTTGTTTCAAGTGCTTAAATCTTCTCCATGTCCCACTGTATACCAGTTGTCCTTTTGTTTTAAAGATTATATTATCAATACCTAATATTTACATAAAAGCTTTGTATCATTGTTAATATTAAATATATTTTTCTATTATATGGGAAGTGTACTACAGGCAATAAAAAATATGATCTTGAGGCTGGAGAGATGGCTCAGCAGTTAAGAACACTTGCTGCTCTTGTGGAGCACCTGGGTTTGGGTTCTAGCACCCACATGGTAGCTCAAAACTGTTGGTAACTGCAGTTCCAAGGGATCTAATGTCCTCCTCTAACGACCTAGGCATCAGAGAAACATGTGATGCACATACATACATGTGGGCAAAACACTCATGCACATAAAATAAAAATAAGCATATGTTTTTGAAAATATCACTTAATCCTCACAGCTATCTGGGCTGGAAGGTGGGTAAACATCTTTGTTTTGTTTCTTCGTTTAACCCAGTCTGGCCTCGAACTCTCTAAGTAACTGAGGATGACCTTGAACTCCTGATCCTCTTGCCTTCCCTTCTAAAGTGCTGGGATTGTAGGCATGTTCCACCATGCTCAGCTTAACATTTCCATTCTAAAAGTCAGGAAACTTGCTCCAGCTTAGAGCATAGAGCTGGTAAGTGATAGGGTGAGGTACAGACTGTGCCCTCTGGCTGCATTTCAGAGATACCAAAAGAGGCAAAGACAGGGACCACACGGTTAATAAGAGTCCAAAGCTGGACATGAGCACAGCTTTCTGCCACGGGTATTATTTCTGCAGAATTATTTGGATCATAGTTAGGAAATTGCTAGTGACCATAGCCTGTGTATTTCCGATATGCCTATGAAAACAGAGAAAGGGGTACTAACGGTACCAGTGTTGAGAAGACCCCACCCCCCAATCCTGGTCATAACTAAGGAAACCACAGACAAGATAAGAAGGGAGAGGAGAGCTGCTGACTCCAAGACAGGCCAGAGCATCAGTGTGAGGCTTAGGATCCTCTCCTGCGGGCTGCATGGGGCTATAGCCAGATGAAATGTGTGTGCCATGCTACCCAGGAAACATGAGCCTTCAGCCATTGTGGATGTCAGCTTAGAACCTCTTGAGAAGAAATCCACAACAGCCTTCTCTCACTCTCTTCCCTCTCCTCTGCTGCTTCCTAACATTTTGGAGGTACCAGACTCCCAAGAATGGGAATTCTTATACTTCTATGTGCATGGTAATTCTCTCAAGAATTTGGAAAGGCAGGATTCCAGGCCTCGCCCCCAGAGTGTCTGGGTGAAAATCAGCAGGGCACCTTGGAAGGTTTGACCATGGACTTGACAAATTACTGACTCTGTCAGCTGGTTTGAGAACTCTGGCAAGGGGGCTAGAGAACTGGCTTAGTGGCTAAGAGTGTGTCCTGCCATTGTGGAGGGCACAAGTCTGCTTCCTGGCACTCATATTGAGCAGCTCCCAACTGCCCGTAACTCCAGGAAATTCGATGCCACTGGCCTCTATGGTCACATGCATTCATATACACATAGCCATATACAGACACAACTAAAATAATACTTTAAAAAAAAAACCCTGTTTTTAAGGTGCTCTGGTGAGCAGATTGGAGGGCTGGGGTTGGGAGCTAACAAACAAATTGAAAGTCTTTGCAGTTGGTTAGAAACAATTGGAAGATTCACAGTGGACACTGGCTACTGTGGTTGAGATACAAGATGGCTTCTGAGCACTCAAATATGCTTTTCTCTCTGGACAGGTGACCTTCATTCACAGTCCGTACAGAAACCTACCCTGTTGATGCCTTTAGAGAGAATGTGGTCCCCCAACCTCATCTTTTCATTTGTTTGTTGGCAGGTGCACATTTATCACACACTAGGTGTCGTAGTGTGTGCTTCAAGGGTCAGGGACCTGGAGGGAAGCTTATATTGCTTCTCATTACCCTCTGGACCGCCAAAAGCTTCCATCAGAGGCCCCCAGGAGCTGGAGCACATGCTCTGACCCTCGCTGCCTGCATTCAGCAAGATGAGCTGTGGCGGCAAGGGCAGCTCCGCAGGATGAAGCTCCAACTCTTAACGTCTTCTAAAATGCTTGACTGGGTTGATAAGAGTCTCTCCCATGCCTGAGCAGAATGTACACAGGTAATCTAACCCTTGCTTCATAGCCAAGATCGGTATTGCCTTGCAAATACAGAGTTGCTCGGTCTCCCACTATGCAGCTCTGAGCCTGCGTGCATAACTCAGCAACCACTGCAGTGTCACTAGTCACTTCTCAAGGTGTCTTCACACCCCTTCCTAATCAGCTAGCTTTTGGGGGGTAGTGTCAGCTCACTGATTAGGCAGGCTGGTTTGCCAGTAAACCCCAGGAATCTTCTTATCTCCTCCTTCCCCAATCTAGGAATACAAATGTACACAACCACACCCAGATTTTTGTTACAAGGTATTCTGGAGTTCAAACTCACATCCTTATACTTATAGGGCAAGTGCTTTCTCGAATGAGCTATTTGTGTGGTCCCTCTACTTCTGTACATATAAAATTCTCAGGACAGAGGTCTGAATCCATTTTCAATGCTTACAGTTTTCAACTTATTCCTGGTGTAAAAGCGGCACACATCCAGCGGGGACTGTATGGAAAAGTATGATCTATGAATCTGGATTTTTATGCAAAAGAGTGATAAGCATTCATTCACTGTGAGCTGGTGTCATGAATACTCGCAGAGAAATCTCATTGTAAAGATACACAGAGGAACTGGATGGAGAGCTGCAGATGCCTGACACAGGAGGAATTCCACGTTGTTGATTTCAAAAGCCAACATCAGCAGACCCAACATGTATGCAGACGAAAGGAAGCTAGTTTGATGGATGGGGGTGTCACAGTCCCCCTTCTCTCCCTCACTTCGGCTCACAGTCAGAACAAACAATCCAGTTATGGGCTTGCTTCAGTCTGTGCCAAAGTTCCCCATAAGCACAGATTTTCTTGGAAGTCAAGCTTCAGAAGAAAAGAAACTGAAAATACTAAATACCTAGTATTTCTTTGCCTCATTGTTTGTGTAACATTTAGTGTTAGAACTCAGGTCACAGCCAGGAGGGGTGGTTCCCACCTTTAATCCCAGCACTGAGGAGGCAGGGGCAGGCGGATCTCTTGTGAGTTTTTAGCCATCCTGGTTGACCTAGAGATTGTTCTAGCACAGCTAGAGCTACATAGAGAGACCCTATCTCAAAAAAAAAAAAAAAAGAAAGAAAAAGAAACCAACCAACCAAACAAACAAATAGACAAAAATCTCAAGCTAAAGACATTATAATGACTACTCAGATACTCCATGGCAGCTTTTGTAGGATGTGAGCATTAGTTGTTTGCTTCATCCTTGCCAAGATTGTTAGTCTCAAGTGAACTCTGTGTGTGTGTGTGTGTGTGTGTGTGTGTAGACCTGTGTAAGTGGCTTTTGTTTCATGTTTGTGTTTTTGTACTTATTTGTGGATGAAGAGGAGGGGCATGCCATATCATGGTGTGTGTGTGTGTGTGTGTGTGTGTGTGTGTGTGTGTGTTGGGAGTGGGGGTGGGGTCAGAGGACAATTTTCAGGACTCATTTCTCTCCTTCCACCACGTTGACCCTCGGGATTGAACTGGGGTCATCAGGTTTGACAGCAAGTGCCTTCAACTCCTGAGCCATCCCACTATCTTGAACCTCTGTCTTATTAATAGTGTTTATAACATTTGTCATGAATCAAGTGATTGCTTTGTGCCAGCCTTTGTAGTTAGCATCTCATTCTCTGTGTCCTATTTAATTCACGTAACTAAATTTTAATTGTTAATATCACATACTACAGGCAAAGAGATTATATCTAGAGATACTAGGTCATTGCCTAATACTGCAAGTATCAGCAAACCATGATTCCTGGCTTTTGGCAAACTTGAGAGCAGTACGCTCTTGCCTGCAGCTTCCTATAGAAGACATGGTATGCTTAGTCTGAGTAATGCCTCGCTTCAGAAAAAAATAAAATAAAATTATTGCATAGAAGGCATTTAAGAACTCTTTGGGAGGCTAGTGAGACAAACTTCTCTATCAGTATTTAGCTTATGTTATCACCATAACATATGTTATTAACACATGATATGACTGTATTCCCATCACACATGGTCACATGACCATAGCATAGGTATGCTCAGTTACAGTACTCTCACTGGAGCCCCTTTCCTCTGTGACATCATCCAATAACTGTCATTCTTTCCTCTTCCCCCGGTTCTCACACATCCGATCACATCCTTCTCGGGAGTAGTAACCCGGATGAATAAAGAGAACTGTTCATACCAGACTACTGTGAACTATTGACCCGCCAGAAGAGGTGTGGCCTTGATGATTCACTTAGCTCTTGGGGGTCTTAGAGTAAAATGTGTAGCCAGAAACATTGATGTCACCTGAGAGCCAACAGCAGAACAAAGTTAGTGTTTCTACAAACTGGCTGGGTCATAATCATCACCATGACTCTGCTCCCCACCCCCAAGTACTTTTTGGCACATAAACATTTGGGCATCTTGATCCTTGTCACGCTGCAGCCATGATGTGGCATGGGTCATTCCACAGGCTGATTCCAAGTGGGACTTAGACAGAAGCAGCAGAGCCAAGGGAATGAAAGAGCTCAGAGGCTTCCTCAGAATAAGCAAAGAATACCCATGGAATCTAATACCAGCAGACTGTCCAACTCGGGAACAGTAAAATCCAGATGACCAAGGAAGGTCGTGAAAGTCATTCAAGAGAAGTCATTAGAGAGGTTTCCAGAACAAATCTCATGAATGATGTGTCTTTCAGAGATGAAAATAGCTGGTTAAAAAAACAACCCACAAAAGCTCTCTTATTTGAAAAGCAATCTTGTTTATTTGGATTAATTTTGAAACATCCTAGCCCTCTTATCTACTTTTGGCTTTCATTAGAGTCAGTAGATGTGTGCAAGAATTTATCACATTTGAAATTTCCAGTCAGCAAATGGTCAGGCCTCTGTCTTCTGTCCCATTGTTTTCCAAACTGATGCATAAAAATGCTTTGCTTCCAGCCCAGAGCAGACAACTTTAACCTGCTGTCCCTTCCCAGCCTTACATCATGTCTGTCTTCTGATTCCCCTGCCTCAGCTCTGCAAGCTCTCCACTCCTTTGTCACCTTTACTGCCTTGTTGGTAGTTGCTGATAATTCTTAGGGTTATAATTCTTTTGATATTTTCTGGGTGAGGAATTAATTACACACTGCACCTTCCCTATTGGAGCTGCTTAATATCATATCCACACGATGGTGTACTTGCTGATTTAAAAAGCAATTCTTGAAGCAAAAATGTCATGCTTCCAGAGATTATAAGTAAATAGACACAGAGGAGTGTAGGTCTATTTCTGTCACCCAGCAAATATTCTGATCCGGAGAAAGAAATAGGTTTTTTTTGTTTGACTTCCAAAGGGCAAATGTTGCATAAATCAGGCGCATAGTCTTGTATTTTAAAAGCATTATCGTTGGAAAACATGATATGAGGAATGGACACTGTGAAGCCAAAGGCTGGGCTCTTCTCACAGCGGTAATTATTCTGAAGTAGTTGGATGACTGGCTGCTTTTCCTATCTGGGATTCTTGATAGTAGAGGCCTTTGTCGTTTTACTTCATTTAATTTGATAAAAATGACATATCAGACCTCTTTACACAGAAAATACTAAGTTCTTACTACTGGATTACAATCATACAGACACATATATACATATATGTGTATATACGCACATGTACATATGTACACTTGTATATATGTGAATACACACACACATATATATATTCCAGTTTTCAAGTTCAGGGCAATTTTATGAAGAATGTGAATAGCTGGGGAGACCTCCGTAGATAAGGCACTTGCCACAAAACCATGAGGACCTGAGTTCAAGTCCATGAGACTTGAGTGGCATACATCACTAATGCCAGCCTTCAAGCATGAGATGGGAGGAAGAGAGAGGAGAAGCCTCACACTCTCATTGGTCATCTATCCTGGTGTATAGTTAGTGATGAACAAGAGAACCTGTCTCAAACAAGGTAGAAGGCAACTTCCACACAAGCACTGTGTTGTGTACACAGCCAGATTCACAGATATGAGCATACACACATGGTGGGGGACATTTAAAAATGTGATGAAAACCTTACATAAGGAATCACTTTCTTGGGGCTTAGAAATGATAGATTTGTGATTCATAGAAGTAAAGATATTATGACCATAAGATGTGGAGAGAAGGAAGGTTTCTGTTCAACCTTTAAATGGGCCAGTTTAGGTAAATTGCTTTCTAATTATCTGAAGTGATGAGACTAACCACTTAAAAAGTCACTTTTACAAATAAGAACATGTAACCCACCAGAAAACATTATGTAAATGCAATGTCGGTCGCGAACAGGTCAGCTGCGACTGTAAGCTGTGGTTTAAAAAGCCTCCATCCCACCAAGTCACTTGGAATTTTGAGTACATGCTACAGATCTGTCTTTTGGCACAGGGCATGGATCATTCATTCATGACTCCTGTGTGTGACCTTCAAGGGGAGTGGCAGGTGTGGTCTTTGGCTTTCAAAGAAAAAAAAAGTAGATATTTTCCTTACTGAAACATGAATATTGATTACCAACCTGTTTTTAGAAACAGTGAATGCTATCTCATTGATTTGATTTAGTAATCAACGGGGAAAGACTGGACATAAGAAAGATGGGGAATCCAGGCTGGACAGATGGCTGAGCCATTAAGAGCACTGGCTACTCTTTCAGAGGACCTGGGTTTGGTTCCAGGTACCCACACGGTGGTTCACAACCCTCCATAACTCCAGTTCTTGGAGATTCAATGCCCTCTTCCAACCCTGCAGCCACTGTGTGCATGTGGTATATAGAAATACATGCAAGCAAAACATGCATACATTATGAAATAAATAAGTCTAAAGAAAAGACTTGACAGACAACTACAGAGAAGAGAAGGCTCATGGTAGGAAAGGAACATGAACGTACAGAACAGTCCATAGCAAGTAGGAAAATGGAGCCTGAAGCCTGCCCCATCCCACCTCCCACCACCACCCTTACTCTAGAGAAAGGATCATTGCTGTTTCCGGCTTGCTCCTCACCCAGTTTGGAACAGAGAGATCATGGCCCTCCT